CTTATTCATGTTTTTCCTCTAGTCACTTCCTTCTTAGTATCTCAGTATAGTAATACAGGGTTGACAAACTCTCCCTTCGTTCCCTATACCACCCAACAGTAAAGACTATCTTTTAGTGGCCATTATATCTTCTTGAAAGATGCAGAGATTCAGACCCTCATGGTGAGTCCCCCTTATGCAATGATTATTTTCAGGCCTTCTCCCAAGTTCTTGCTCAAAGTTGTTTCAGAATTCCATGTGAACCATTATTTATCTTCATTTTTTCTTACCCAAATCTTATTCCATCTTGGGGAACGATAGACTTCATATTCTTGATTTAATAAAAGCACAATAATGTTACTTTAACTGGACAAATCCATTCAGGAACACAGCTAGACTGCTTGTAGCCACTGAGAAAGCGTCAATATCCTTGCTAATATTATCAGAATAGATCTTTAAGGCTACGTCTATACTGCACTGTTTTGTGCAAGTAATATACAAATGAGATGAAGAGTGGAATATTGTATAATTAATGAGCGTCCGCTTTTTGCACAAGAGATCTTAGTGCAAAAAGGAGCCATTTACACGGCTCCTTTTTGCATAAAAACCTGCTCTTAAGCAAGAAGGAGCCATGTAGATGGCTCCTTTTTGTGCAAAAGCCTCTTGCGCACAAAGCGGCTGCTCATTAATTATGCAGTGAGGCACGGCGATATTCCATGCTTTGCCTCATTTGCATATTTCTTGCGCAAAACAGTTCAGTATAGACATAGCCTAATTGTGTAAGAATCTCTAAGGATGTGTCTAGACTACAGGATTTTGTCGACAAAAGTCCAGTGCCACTGAGTTCTATTGACATAACGTCGACATAACTCTGTAGTTTTGATGACGTGTGTAAACCTCATTCTACGAGGAATAACGCCTTTTGTCGACAGAGTTCTGTCGACAGAAGGCATTATTGCATCTCCACTGTCCTTTGCGTCTACACTGTCATGTTGACAAAGCAGCTTGCTTTGTTGACAGAACTGGATGTAGTCTAGATGCTCTTTGTTGACAGAAGCTTTGTCGACAGTATCTGTCGTTCTACGAGGATTAAGGGACGTTTTGGAATAGTGCTTTTTTTAAAAATTTGGCGCTGTGTGGACACGCCAAAAGACGAAATAAGCTGTTTTGAATTAGCATCGAAATAATATACACAATTTGTGTAGCTCAAATTGCATATCTTATTTTGAGTTATGGTGCATTGTAGATGCACCCTTACTGAAAAGATGCACATGAAAGCTACGTGGATTATATTGATAGTACTGTACATTCTTCAGTCTGTTTTATTTAGGCAAGTTGGTCACGAAGATCTTGTTGAGGCAATCTATAGGCAGCCTTCCCTTGGAACTGTTTTTAAAGGGTAAGTCACTTGGTACAATTAGCATTTCCCTAACCCACCACAACAAAGGCAGGTAGGAAATACTGGCCAAAAGTATATGTATGAACTGTAGCGGTACATCATCTTTGGTTATATAACAGTATCTGGAGAAGAGACAAGTTCCCTAAGAGGTAGCGAAATTTATGTAGCTTTCCCTTCCGTTTAGTAGCAGAACTTTCATAAATGACACCTGGGAGTTCCCTCCAGGACATCACTGTTTCTAGTCTTTGGTTGTCCCATAAATGTTGGTTCCTGGCACTGATGGATTTCCACCCTAGATCACTGATTTAGTTTTCAAGAACTGCATGGCCAAGGACTTGATAAACCACAGTGGCCCTGCTTATGTGGGTCTTTTGATCTGACTCTTTACATGGTGTGTAAAAAAAAGTAAAGTGGTTTTGGAATAGGTGATTTCTGTAGTGTTTTATGAATCAACATTCTCATTTGAGCCTATTTAGGGTCTCGTTAAATGGTAGAAAAAAATAGATATAACACCCTCAGCATTCATATCTTTCATCAGTACAAGATGAATGTTTTTACTTCCTCTGAACCATCTACTACTGACCACTATCAGAAGTAGGTAAAGGGTTAGACGGACCACTGGCCTGACCAGATATGAAAATTTCTAAGTGCAATTTGCAGTGATGGTGATTATTTTCCAGTTAGCCAGAGTATTATTTTCATTACATGGATTTTAAAATATGCATAGGTGGAAAACATGACAATTTAAGATGTGGGATTGCAGCAGTGATTTGGTGGTAATAGTAGCAGTACCTGGTGAAAAGGATATGCATGTGTACTCTTTAGAAGAAATAGAGAAGGACAGGTTTGTACAGGATGTTGGCAAACATTGCTTCTGTATCAAAAGTGTGGATTTCAATAGTCGTGTCTGTTTATCACATGAAAAGTCATTCACGGTTCCATTTTAATGGTCTCTCATCGTTTCAGAGAAGTATTCCATTATGCTGAAAAATAGTTGATCGTATTAACAAAGAAGAGCTGGCTTTATACAGAGAAATTGTCCATGTAGCCATTACATGAGAAGAAGTTGGAAAAATAATTACATCTAGTACAACATATACAATGGTGAAAATACTAGCTGTGAAATACAGATTTTAGAACTATAATTCATTACCCTTTTTCTTTGATCAGTTATTACCAGTTAGGGTCAGAAAATAACATTTGTTTCTTTTTTATATCACTTTTCCTTTTTGGTCCTTTTGTCTTGTGATCCAGCGCTAAGTATTAGCACATTTTTGTCAGTTCATGTGCATTATTTGCAGCAGTCGTATTGTTTTTAGTAATCACATTATATAGATACGTCATTGTGTCAGATTTTAAAGGAGGTAAGTATATTAAAAAAACAAAGCAGTATTGACAGACTCTGATGATAGCTAGGTGAACATTTATATGAAAAAAACCACAAAGAATTCCAGGAACATAGTAGGAGTTCAGGGCAGCTAAATTGGATAGAAAAAGAAAAAAATCATACAAGTCAAAGTAAGATTGTACATCAGAAAAACTACAGCAGCCTACCGAAAATTAGTAGATGATAGTCATGAGTAGCTTACAGTGAACCATGGGTACCAGCTTCCCTGAAGCACAGAAATAGGAACTTGAAAAAACTTGTAAAAGGTGTCCTCAGGGAATCTTCCATTTTTTCACTATGATACCTTTCATCCTAGAATTGTCAAGCCACATGGAAAATAATAGGACTGAATAGTTCAGTGAGTTAAAAGTTAGTATTATTTCTTTTATAAAAAAAATTAGGTCTTTCTGTATTTCTGGAACTGTTGGGATTTATATAAACTTTAAAACAAGTGAAGTCAAGTATTGAACTTGTATTACTCTCTTTTTTTTAATTTAAGATCATTATCTGTGACTAAGCAGGCACCATTCAAGTGAAAAAAGAACTTAAAGCCCATATTTTTTAACAGATGATTCAACGAGAGGCAGATGTAAAGAATAAGGTAACTGCTGTGGCATTGACAGACTCTGTTCACAATGTGTGGCATCAAGAAGCTGGCAAAACTATTCGAGAATGGATGCGAGAGGTGAGAAAGGGTTTTAAAAGAGTTGGAGCCTACAATGCTATTCTATAAACATGTATTTAAATACTGATCTGTTCCATTTCTTTAAGATACAGAAGAAAGCAAGAAAGTATTGTTAAAGCACTGTATAAGCAGCATACAGTCCCTGAAAAAAATTAGATTCAAAACATTTTTGAAACTCTTACCATTAAAAACCAATCAAAACTGACTGTAGCTTTCTTTTTCACTATACAGCAAAGTATGCACAAATATCATGTAAGCAACATGATCTGGTAACAGAGCAGAGTATTGGGAGCAATATTGGGAGATTTTTTCATCTGTGTACAGAATATATTTTATATGCACTGAGGCATGCGGATGTGCACCACCAGTAGAAATGCATGCTGCCAGCTGTGAGTGCTTTGCTAATCAGCTGGGAAGCATTTGAATCTCTCCTAGGTGGTTGCCTAAGTACTCAGCTTACAGCAGGGGTGGGCAATAATTTTTGCAAGGGGCCACTTCACAAATTTTGGTACGTGGTTGCCCTTGGAAGGGCTGGGGCCTCAGCTGGAAGGGGTGGAGTCTTGGGGGCAAAGCGGTGATTCCCTCTAGGTGCCGCACACCCCTGTTTGGTGGAGACTTCGCATATGCCCCTGCTCCCAGGCCAATCAGGAACTGGGGGCGGGAAAGTGTGCAATATCATTCCTTGCTCAAAATGGCTGGTGGCTCCCCCTAGGCACCATGTGCCTCTGACGGGGGAGGGAGCTGCCAGCCATTTTGAACAGTAAATGACTTTGTGCACTCCCCCATCCCAGGTCTGGATCGGCTTGTGGGTAGGAGAGCAGCAGAGTGAGCTATGGGCTGGATCAAACGGTTTGGTGGGCCATATCTTGCCCCCCCCGACTTACAGGGGACACAGACTGGGAGGCATTCAGGGCTCCTGGATTCTGGATTTGCTTGCTTTGTGACCTTGGATCATGTCCTTTAACCTTTTCGTGCCTCAGTTTACTGATCTGTAGATTTCATGTACATTTATCCACCTCGCACAGGTGTTATGAAATTCAATTGTTTATACAGTACTTTAAAGATCCTTTTGTGAAAGGGTAAAACATTCTTACTACTTCTGTACTATGGGAACTGCTTGCTGATTTGAGGTTAATCTGATACTGGTTTATGGCCAGCACACACAACTTCTCTTCTGTGGGTGGAATACAATGGAATATATTTGTTAGGAATATATTTTAAGACTTATGTATGGGATAACTGCAATTAAAAGAGAAGAAAGAATTTGTAGTATCAACTCAACTAAACTCTTGCTTGTGAATCTATGTTCTGATCAAATAAAAGTCATACTGTCATTGGGAATGTTTTATGTATTTGTCTATTCTTATTTTGAAATTTTAAAACAAGCAATACAAATATATGGCTCTTTAATAGGAGTGAATTTTCCTGTCGATTTTAGTGAAACATTGTGTTTGTAGACTGCCTATTTCTAACTTAACCTTATAGTTTTATAGGCCATGACTTATGGGAATAGAGAATCACGAGGGATACAGTCTGACAGCTCTGACTTAAATGTTAAAAATATAAAGAATAGTAACCCCTCTAGGCCCTGTCAGAAGAATCCTCAGTTTTATGGGAAATCAAACCCTTAAAATATGTTATACAGTAAAACTGAACATGCTAAATCCTATAATTTGAATCTGACAACTCATTTTTCTTTGAACATTTAGTCTGGATGAGACAAGTACATTACTTTTAATTTAATTTACAGAAAGTAGATGTTAAAAGAATAAGTAACATGATTAATGACCTAAAATGTGGATGGAGTGTCATAACTTTATATTAGCATTGCAAATCTCCTATATGAAGTATTTTTACATATGTGAAATGTTGTTGAGTAGTATTAAGGCTAACATATCACCTGGCTATCTCTTACTTTAATCAGGTTTAGGGCTAGTGGTAGAATGAATAATAATTAAAATGTATGCCTAATCACTGCCTGTCTGTAGTGCTAATTGCTGTCACTGAAAGAATGAATTGTTTAAAAAGTCATTCTTCATTGAAGCTATTTCTCCTGTATCATTGGTGGCCTATTTTTAGTACCTGTAGAAGTCATGATTTTTGAATATATTAGGAGCTGTGATGAATGATAAAACAAATCATCCATTTACATATCTTGACACTGCTTTCAAGAATACTTATTTCTTACAGGCAAGTGTCACATTGCATATAAAAGCTGGTTAATTGTCTGCTAATCTTCAGTATTATCTCAAGCTCTGTGATGTAGTGTTCTAGCAGTATTTAATATTAATTTTAATTATTTCAAATGAACATAATGTCTAATAAAAATCTTACTTCTTTTATAATTCCTTACATTTGCAATTTTACATTCAGCTGTTAATTAAAATTAGGCATGGTAATTATAAACTTTTTCTTTATTTTAAACCTCAAGGTCTGTGTGGAACATGGAAATACTAACATTTTAGCCATTTTTTTTTTTTTTTTTTACTAAAAAGATAACATTACTGGATTGTGTTTGTTTTCATGGATTTTTTTCCACACAGTTCAATAGTTTCATTGATCTACTGTTTCTTACAAAAATCTGCCATGCTTTGTGAACTTCACTTTCTAATCTCATACAGCAACCCTTCCTTTATGTTGTTCCTGCTCTCCGTGGTCCCAGAACAGTAGGGTTGCCTTGACAAATCTATTCAAAAGCCATTCCTCGGCCTTTATTGGTGGGGACTGGAGCCTTTGAAATTCTCTCCTCACTGCAACACAGCTGACATCTTCTTCCAGACAGAATGAATTAAGGAAATACAATAAGACACTTGATCTACCAGTCAAGGATCTTTCCACAGTGAGGACGGATTCCATGGTGCACAACTCGGGCAACAGGCATCTAAAAATACACAATACATGCTTGTATACCAGAATAGCAATCAACCATTTTTGCAATCATGATTGATAGGATCATTTTTGAGAAACCTGTCTGGAAAATCATTGGCTCTGCAAGCTTTTTTAAAATGAAGTTAATCAGTTTTTATAAAGGCAAAATTCCAGAATAGTTTTGTAATATATGAAGTCATAAAGATTTTGTATTTTAGCTGACAGGCCCCTGAATAGACATATTGCTACTCTTCAATATAACAAACTTCGTAAATTCAAAAAATTGTATTCTAATAATAAATTGTAAAGTATTTTATTTGATATTTTGATACTCTATTTTCTTTGAAGAAATTGCAGTGAAGAAAAATATTTAAAAGGTATCACAGTAAATTCTTTTTAATAAAAAATTTAGGACTGAAATGTAAACTTAAGTTTTAATATATATACATCCACAGAGGTTGATATTTACATTTTAAATGTTCATTTTACCTAAATTGGCAGTTATGTCAGTAACCCACAAAACCATATTCTTCCACTCCTATTCCGTTGCTTTTCAACTTCATGGTTGTGGTACTGTCTCAACAACAGATTGCATCATTATACCCTAAAGATTATGACCTCTTAATACAAGCAAGCAAGGTGAGAGATAATATGTATTTGTTGTCAATAATTATTAACTAATTACAAAGGAAAATGGTTTGAATTGCATGGTGGATAACTTAGGCCCCAATTCATCCAAGCATTTTTGCATGTGCTTAGTTTTAACACAAATTCATCTCCAACCAAGACATTGGGACCACTCACATAGATCCAAATTAACCAAAGCACTTAAATCCATTCCTGTTCAAATGAGTACTTAAGGATAGACTTAAAATTAAGAACATGCTTACGTATTTTTGCTGAATCGGGCCGTGCTCTTTTATTTCTAATATTTGGCCACTTGTGAACTATGGCCCAAATTGAACAAGGTACTCAAAATAGGCATATGCCTAACTTCAAGCATGTGAGCAGTACTTACTCCTGGGTCCACCTTTCAGTCCCCATTGTGACTTCTGCTTAAAGTTGGTCACATATTTAACTAGCTTTCTGAATTGTGGCCTAAATCTATAGCGTCTATGATTTATTCTTGCTTTAGCTTTATTGTTTCATTGTAAAATTGTCTCTTGCATTACAGAACTGTTGTAACTGGGTATCTAGTTCAGAACCACTAGATACATCAGTAGAGTCCATGTTGCCAGACTGCCCTCGTGTTTCTGCAGGTATGTTTGCTTATTTGTACACTGTGTATAAAACACCCATGAATTTGTCATATACACCCATGAATGAGTAATTTGATTTGTTTAAAATGTGCTTGTTTGTTTATGTTTAAATTATTTTTCTGTGCTTTTTCCTTTTCCTTCTATGAGAAAAATAATGTGTAACTTAGCTTTTGAAAAATGCCTTCTATTTTTATGATTTTTAGTATTTTATTTTGCTTTTGTCTAGAGCACCTGTATGAAATTCTATGGAGTACTACTAGTTTGTGTTTTGTAGCCCTCTTTTTCCCTTTGTGTTTGCTTAATTCCTGAGTTATTGGAACTTAAGGAGACTGTGGAAGCTTAGAATTTTAAGCTAAATTTCCTTGTTAACACCCAGCATGATATTAAGACAATATAAAAAGGAACTAGAGAATGAATGAGTGACTTTTCTGAAGCTCCAGTTAAGATAAATCTATATTGTACAAACAGTGCAAATGATAAAAATGTAAACCAAAATTATAGTGTACTAGAACTATACTGTATGGTTTTCTGCTGTGCTGGTGGTGATCTTGAAATGATGGTGTCTTTCATTAATGGAAGCATAAATTATAGGTGTTTTATTCAGAGAAAGCTATTAATATAATAAATAATTTCTTAACATGTTATAAAGTTATGTAATAATTTCAGGAAGATTTTACTGAAACATAATTTGTAAATATAACAGATTATATAGAAATAGTCATTCAGAATATAAGAAACTACTACTCAACTTTAATTTGCTGAAAATAAAATACAGGTATATAGGATGTCAGTAGACTGTGAAAACAGTACTACATAAGACTGAGGCAAAATAGTACCCAACATAATATTAATTTTGTATGATGAATACAATGTTAATTTTACCAGGCCCTGCTTCACATGAAGTACAGTAGTTTATTTTACAAAGTTACAGGTCAATATGTAACTATATATTTGAGGTTGTTTAAAGTCCTATTCTTGCCATTGAAGTTCAGGATTTTTTAAAAAGTTATAAAGTTAGTTGTATTTTATATTAGAGCTCATTTAAAGCCCCCAGTACTGCATCAGATCTGCACTGGAACATCCACATTAGTAGATCCAGCTACAAGATCAAAGCCTAGAACTGCTAAGTGATAGTTCTGTACAAATGTTATAAATGTTTCTATTATTGCTGTTTTTCTGGATGGAAAACTAAAATACAGCTTCAGTTTTGAACAGAATTCATAGACTAAACTTTTCATTATTTTTAAAAAATTAATTACTTTTGAAAATTAAATAGTGCACAAAATTAGTATTCTAGATAACTTCTAGTTTTAACTTTAATTTTCCTATCTGTGCCACTGTTGTGTAATAGTACAGTCTACTGGGAGAGTAGAGGTGGAGGATTTATAATGTGTTCATAACAGAAGAGCCATTCCAATCTGGCAGATAAATAGCAGGCATTTTGAATAATAACTGGCATATACCCAAAATACCAAGAAGGCTCCTGTTGAGCTTTTGTTCTGTTTCTGTGTCTACTATATTATATTTCAGGTTATAATGTAACAAAGCTAAAATCAGGATATTAAAAATAAAGACACTTAATATTTGTTTATGTATTTTTTTACTCTTTACTGATATGCATTAAGAACTAACCATTAGTCTGAGCTTTACATTTCCAAAGAAAATGAGTATATCGAGCATAGTTTTAATATTACAATTGGTGAACTCCTGGCCCCATTTAAATCAATAGGAGTTTTGACATTAACCTCATAGGAGCCAGAATTTTGCCCACTAATTTTATGTAGGGTCTTTGTATTTAATATCATAAGTTTAAATTATATGCAGCACTCTGATCTTTTAGAAAACATTGCAACATATTTCTAGATTTTTACTATAATGATTTAAACATAAATTATGTAATACTAATTTGCTGATTCCCTAGTACATAATCAGAGCTTTAAATAGGTACAGCATATAAGAGTTGTTGATTTCTAGTTTCCTAACATGTTTTTGTTCATGTTCTCTATATTTCTTCTATATTAATTAGAAGTAGACCCTGCTGAAAGAGAGTGTGTAATCACTTCAGCTTAATTGTATATCCTCATTAACATAGTCACTAAAGCTAGCCAGAATGAGTATGTGAAGTGATACTAGATATTACAGAATTAGTAGCCAGTGTGATAGATTTGATTTCAATCCTTCCTTTCTGAGAACTGCAGTACTGAAGCAGTCCACATTGACATATTGGCAGCATTGCTCTTGGTATTTAAAAAGAACAGTTTTTCAATCATTAAAACAAGAACAATATTTTTAAAAGTCTGTTCCAGGGAAAAAAAAGAATTCACCTCTTTTCTGCTTAGAACCCCAATTTGTACATACATCTGTTGTGATAGCATATCACTGCCTGTTGATCACAGCCTCATGTGTTAGCTTTATAATACAGAGTCTGATTGCCAACTACCCAGCACACCAAAATTAAAGGAAAGGGGGAGCTGGCTACTAATTGTTTGTGGTCAGTTCTCTCCTCTACTGATGTCATGTCTTCTGTTTGCTGAGCCAGGTCTACCAGCCATATCCTTGCACAGCACTGGAGAGACTGGCATGCTAATAAGTCATCAAACTGGAAAAGCAAAGGTGCATATCCATCAAGGTTGTTTGGACTGTCAATTAGAGTGTAACTGGCTGGATAACACATATGGAAGGAACAATCCATTTCACACATACAGAATGGGAAGTGGCTGTCTAAGAGGGAGTACTGCAGAAAGGGATCTAGAGGTCATAGTGAACCACAGGCTAAATATGAGTCAGCAACATTACACTGTTGCAAAAAAAGCAAACATAATTCTGGGATGCATTAACGGGTGTTGTGAGCAAGACACAAGAAGCGATTCTTCCATTCTACTCTGCACTGATTAGGCCTCAGCTGGAGTATTGTGCCAAGTTCTGGGCACCACATTTCAAGAAAGATGTGGAGAAACTGGAGAAGGTCGAGAGAAGAGCAACAAAAATGATTAAATGTCTAGAAAACATGAGCTATGAGGGAAGACTGAAAGAATTTGGCTTGTTTAGTTTAGAAAAGAGAAGACTGAGGGGGGAACATGATAACATTTTTCAATTATCTGAAAGGATATTTCAAGGAGTAGGGAGAAAAAATGTTCTCCTTGGCTTCTGATGATAGACCAAGAAGCAATGGGCTTAAATTGCAGCAAGGGAGGTTTTAGGTTGAACATTAGGAAAAGCTTCCTAACTGTCAGGTGGTCAAACTCTGGAATATATTACCTAGGGAGATTGTGGAATCTCCATCACTGGTGATATTTAAGAGCCAGTTGAATAGACATCTATCAGGGATGATCTAGATGGTGTTTGGTTCTGCCTTGTGGGCAAGGGACTGGACTCGATGACCTCTTGAGGTCCCTTCCAGTTCTAGCATTCTATGGTTCTATATCTGCCACTAAAATTTTCATTATATTAATATTTACTTATATGGAATGAAGAACAAAGAATACACTTTAAATTTAAAATTAAAATTACAGAATGAGAACTTGGGAACAGGAAGATAATATGTCATAGCATTGGCTGAGGGAATTCAGGTAACTAATGGGGTACAGAGAGACTTGAAGGGCAGTAATTATAGAAGAGATACCAATGAGTTTGGCAGTAAATTGAAATTTGGTGTGGTGGCCCGAAGAGGCCAAAGTGATTTTAGATTCCATACTTGAAGCAATCAAGTTACAGATGAGGATGGCACTCGGTTCTTTTTTATGCAGTATTGATGACACTTGAGTCATAATATTCTGTGCAGTTCTGTGAAATTCATTTATCAGAATCTTAAATAAGTTGTCATGCCAGAGGAAAGTGATCTGTGGGAATATTCCAGAGGGGATTGTAGTGCACTTAGATGCCCAGAAATCCTTGGGATCTCATAACTATTTTCAAGACTCTGCAATTTTGGAGATCCTCCTTTTTCTTTCTTTCATGAGGAATTAGTTAGGAAATATTGTAGTGAATCATCATCATTGGGCATCTGAGTTGACCCCTCACAAATTAATGTGGCAGTTCATACCACTCTTAGCTATTGCTGCATGCTCTTTTGAGACCAGAATTGACATCTCTGCATCACAGTGATTCAGGGAACAGTGTTTCTTCACAACCATAACAGTGAGAGTCTACGTTTTTATGAAAGCTGAGATTCTGGGGGACAACATAGTTGATTCAGAGAAGGGGCAGCTGGCCCTGGTTCCCTCATACCAAGACTAGAATGGGGCACTGCAATGGTCTCCTCGAGGCTGCTACACCATGCTAAATAATCACTGCAGACCTTCAGAAGACCTGGGTAGCATATATATACATAAAGACTTTCTTCTGCTGCACTCACAGTGGAGGTGTCCTCACCTGTCTATGCAAGTGAGCCTTTGTGTCCTGCGCAGGGCATGCAAGAGACCACTGTATGGTCTGTATTCACATAGGCAGAATCCAATCCTGGCCCCATTGAAATCAACGGCAAAGCTCCCTTTGGAGCAAGGATTTCAATCATTAGATCTGATATATGCCTTACACTGGCCTCCATACACCCAACCCTTTCCTCCTCTGCGGTGATTTTTACTCATTTTTTGTTTCAGTACAAATCTACATGCATACAATAGGGCCCCAATCCAGCAGTGAACAACATATGAGCATGCCCCTTTTTCTGTGCAAGTTGCCAGTGAAGTTGAAGGGGCTCTGCATAAGCACAAGGGTTTGTACTCATGGGCTGTGTCTAGATTGGCCAGTTTTTCTGGAAAATCAGCCGCTTTTCCGGAAAAACTAGCCAGCTGTCTATACTGGCCGCTTGAATTTCCGCAAAAGCACTGACTTCCTACTGTAAGAAATCAGTGTTTTTTGCGGAAATACTATGCTGCTCCCATTCAGGCAAAAGGCCCAGTGTAGACAGCTGAGATTTGTTTTCCGCAAAAAAGCCCCGATTGCGAAAATGGCAATGGGGGCTTTTTTGCGCAAAAGCGTGTCTAGATTGGCAACGGACG